TAAACATCTATGCAGATGATAATAGATATAGTTTCATTTATTTTAGGGGAAAGGGATGGACAAGGTGGCCTCCGAATTTTTCTCCACCGCTTGCTTGCTATGATATTTCTTTAAACACCTGATCTTACATTTTTTCCTTTAGTACTTGCACTGAAGGGTTTTTTTCTGCGTTTTAGTCCTGCAGTTCAGCCCGCTATCCTGCTCTGTGCTTTGAGCCACTGATCACCTGCTTTGCTGGTCACTGCCGTAGTCCATGTGGACTATGGAAATGGAAATAAACTCAGGGTTCTCAGGTGTATCTCTTGAGCAGAAAGCAGCATGCAAGAATGCAAATAAAGTTACCTGTAATAAATGTGCAGAAATAAACCCTCTAAAGACTGATTATATTAAATATACTGAGGCCCAGAGAAATATTTGAGATAGCGTAATTGGAAGCACTTGTATTTAGCAGTCTCTAGAGGAACGTGTGGATAAGGTTGGGTGTCAGAAAACTCAACCACAGAGGAAAAAGTCATTTAAAAGCCTGGGCATTAAGAAGACACTTAGCTTGGCAAACTGCAGCCTTGGACTTGTGTTTTTCTAGATTGCTGTTGACGGTCCAGTCCCAGAAAGCCGCCACTCTCACAGTGCCTGCAGCTGGGAAGGAGGAGCGCTCATCGCAGGAGGTCTGGGAGCAGCTGAGCAGCCCTTGGGTTCAGTTTTCCTTCTGAGAAAGCTTGAACATGGCTTTCAGTGGCAGGCAGTAGAGACATACCCTCCTCTCATCCCAAGGTGAGCAGAATGTGTTCATAACTTGGAAGGCACCTTTTAAAGGCCATCTAGTCCAACCTCCCTGCAATGAGCCGGGACATCTTCAAGTAGACCAGGGTGCTTAGAGCATTCATCAGTGAATCTTCAGCCTGTCTCTACCAACCTCCCTTACTAATGGGGTTCAATCTCATTTTGAACTCCCAGGTATTCACATACTGCACATGTGCATGAAGGAAAGCTTCTGCTCGTTGGCGGAGTGTGGTTTCACGCACCCTCCGTGCCAGGCATCACTGTCATTGACTTAAGGACTGGCCTCTGCTTGGACTATGTGATTAATGTGGTAAGGACCGAAATTTTTCTTGCAATGTTGTATGAAGGAAGATGATAACTTTAGAGCTGTTCCTTGAAACTGAGTAGAGAAAGCAAAGTCGGCAAAGCTGGGAGTGGAATAAACATTCCCTGTTCGAGGTAGAATCTGATTTTGAAGCGCTTTTACCAGTACAAAGAACATAACAGTATTAAGAGAGAGACAGACACTGCATGGCAGAAGACTGGAGGACATAAAGCTGCTCTGTTCTAGACAGGGGCAGTAGAACTGAAATGGGCACAAATCTAGTCCCTTTGGGATACCTGTGGAGGAAGGGAACAGATCAAACCAGAGCCTCAGTGAGTCTTTATGGAGGTCTGCGCTATAATTGCATTGAGAACTTCTTGGGGGAAACTGCAGTGTGTTATAGCTGCTCCCTGGCATACAAGAAAAAACAGCATGGAAATACTGGAAACTCCGCTGAAACATAAGAAAAGTTTACTGTAAGGCTCATTGAACACTGAACAGAGAGGCTGTGGTGTCTCCATTATTGGGGATATTCAAAACCTGACTGGGCAGGGTACTGAGCAACCTGCTGTAGTGGAGCCTGCTTTGAAAAGGGGTGGTTGGACTGGATGATGCTCACAGGTCCCTTCCAACTTTAACTGTTCTGTGACTTTCTTCTACGAATCACTGAAGAACAGCCATACAGGTGGTGTCACATAGCAGGATTTTGGCACACTCCGAGCAAAACTTGGTCTGCATGTGTGAGTAGCCCTCATCTCAGATAATACTGTCTGGAGTAAAAGAAAGACGTGGATCTGTTGGAGTGAGTCCAGAGCAGGGCCACAAAGATGATCAGAGTGCTGGAGCATGTTTCCTGTGAGGATGTGCTGAGAGACTTGGGGCGGTTCAGCCTGGAGGAAGAGGGCTCTGGGGAGACCTTAGAGGCCCTTCCAGTGCCTAAAGGGGACTTATGAGAAAGATGGGGACAGACTTTTTAGCTGGGCCTGTAGTGATAGGACAAGAGGTGATAGTTTTCATCTAAAGGACAGTAGCTTTAAACTAGGTATAAGGAAGAAGTTTTTTACAAAGAGTGTGGTGAGGCCCTGGCCTAGGTTGCCCAGAGAAGCTGTGGCTGCCACATCCCTGGAAGTGTCCAAGGCCAGGGTGGACAGGGCTTGGAGCAACCTGGGATAGTGGAAGATGTCCATGTCCATGGCAGGGGGGTGGAAAGAGATGGCCTTTAAAGGTCCCTTCCATCCCAAATCATTCTGTAATTCTATAAGAAAACTTCTGTTGCTTGACAAGTTATTTCTTTTACATAAAGAAACAACTGTCTTTAGATAGCTGTACATGTGGAACCTGTCCTTGGTGAAACTGGAATTTGTGACAGGTCACAGTATGTGTGCATCTGACTGACCTTACGGCATGTTCTTGGAGGCATGAAGCATGAAGCATGCTTAAATGCAGCTTAGTTTTTAGTTACTGTCTGTAGCAGAAGTTGTAAGGGGCCTCATATCCTTTAGATAAAATAGGCTGCCCTTGGACAGCAGTGAGGATGGGTAGGGTGGTAATAAAGTTGTATCTAAAAGAATATAACTTTTTTGTTTATGCTGAATAAGTGGATGCAGGTGGATTGGTAGCTGCCTTTGCTTATGAGCTTTGGCTTTGGTGAAACTCTTCAGGCTTTTGAACCTACCAGTTACATAGTAAGCTTTGGAACGCCTTGCCGCAGGCCAGGAATGCTAAAGGTTTCCATTGAATCAAAAAGTGACTGGTGTCACCCTTTTCGGAAAGCCTTGGGGTTCAAGGATTATCAAGACATTCTCTCCCATCAAAAGCACTGAACTGCAAACTGGGGGGTGGGTGGGTGTACTGGAGGATTATACCTCATGGGTTCCTTGTTCCTATATTCTCAGTCTATCTCTTTTTACCCACATTCATGGGTGACATGGTGAACCGTGTGAAGTCTTGTATATTGAAAATCTTCTTTCCTTTTTCAGGAGCATCTGGAGTGGCCATTAATGCTACATAATCATAGCAGCGTCTTTCTGCCAAATGAGAAGGAGTTGGTGGTTATTGGTGGTGGTGGTAACTGCTTCTCCTTTGGGACACACCTGAACCCAGAGCCTGTCTCACTGAGCCTCAGCAGCATCCTGACCAGTCACTGACTGGGACCAAGCAGGGCTGAACTGTGCTGCTGCACTGTGGGGAGACATCTATTCACTCAGAGGTCCAAGATTTCCACAAGGGCTTTGTATCCAGAATGCATTTGGGAAGGTGGGATCAGGAGGGACAGTTTACAGAAAGGGGCTCACAGCTCACTGGCCTTTGCTTTTGTACAGCTCTTCCTATTACTATAAATAAAGTGCCTGAGAAGCAGCTGCAGCAGAGGGGCTTAGAGGTGAAGTGAGGGTCAGACTTTGTTCAAAATCTGAACGAAGTCTAACTGAATTCATAGAACCATAGAATGGTTTGGGTTGCAAGGTTGCAAGGCAGTTCCACACCCCTTACATGGGCAGGGACACTTTCCACTATCCCAGGTTGCTCCAAGCCCTGTCCACCCTGGCCTTGGACACTTCCAGGGATGGGGCAGTGACAGTTTCTCTGGGCAACCTGCACCAGGGCCTCACCACCCTCACAGGGAAGAAATCCTTCCCAATATCCCATCTAACCCTGCCCTCTGTCAGTGGGAAGCCATTCCCTCTTGTCCTTTCCCTCCAGGTCCTTGGAAATAGTCTCTCTCCATCTTTCTTGTAGGCTCCCTTCAGGTACTGGAAGGCTGCAGTTAGGTCACCCCAAACCCTTCTCCAGGCTGAACAATCCCAGTTCTCTCAGCCTTTCCTCATAGCTGAGGTACTTCAGCCACATCTGGACTTGGTCCAACAAGGTGATGTCCTTCCTGTGCTGATTCCTCAAGGCTGGAGGCAGCTCTGCAGGTGAGGTCTCACCTGAGGGGACAGAGGGGCAGAATCCCTCCCTGCCCTGCTGCCCACGCTGTGGGATTAGCCGAGCACACAAGAGTTTCTGGACTGGGCCATGTCCGGCCTCTCCCCCACCAGCATCCCCAGATCCTTCTCCCAGGACTGCTCTCAATGTGTTTATCCCCCAACCTGGATTAATATTTGGGGTTGCCCTGACCCAGGTGCAGCACCAGCACTTGGCCTTATTGGACTTAATGAGACTCTCATGGGCCCACTTCTTGAGCTTGTTCAGGTCCATCTGGACGGCATCCAGTCCTTCAGGATGTGGAGCTGCTGGAGCAAGTCCAGAGGAGGGCATGGAGATGCTCCAAGTGCTGGAGCCTCTCTGCTCTGGAGTCAGGCTGGGAGAGCTGGGAGTGTTCACCTGGAGAAGGCTCTGGGGAGACCTCAGAGCCCCTTCCAAGGCCTAAAGGGACTCCAGGAGAGCTGGAGAGGGACTTGGGACAAGGGGTGGAGGGACAGGACACAGGGAATGGCTTCCCACTGACAGAGGGCAGGGTTAGGTGGGATATAGGGAAGGAATCCTTCCCTGGGAGGGTGGGGAGGCCCTGGCACAGGTTGCCCAGAGAAACTGTCACTGCCCCATCCCTGGAAGTGTCCAAAGCCAGGTTGGACGGGGCTTGGAGCAACCTGGTCCAGTGGGAGGTTCCCTGCCTATAGTAGTGAAGTGTATTTGATGATCTTCAAGGTCCCTTGCAACCCAATCCTGTGATTCCATGATGATTCTCTGACTGACTGCACATCATTTGTTGGGTGCAGAGAAATTGTTCACATTTGCTTTGGTTTTCTTCTCACCTTGTTTGTTTTCTCTCTTCCAATATTTTCAGAATTTTTTTCTAGTTACTAAATTGTCTCACCTTATGAGTTTCTTTCTCCCTTTTTTTTTTCCTTACTGAATTGGCAGGTGGGGTTAAAGCACAAAACCCTTCTTCAGCTCCATTGCCCTTCTCCAGACATACTCCAGCACCTCAATGTCTTTATTGTCGTGTGGGGCCCAAAACTGACCCCAAGATTTGAGGTCTGACCTCACCGTGCCCGGCCCAGGGGGATGATCACTGCCCTCGTGTCATGGAGGCTCCTGACATTGAAATAAACCACCTACTCAAAAGAGATTTATTCGATGAACCAGTTAAACCCCAGCAGTTACAGATCCAACAACAGCTGAAAACAGATTCGTGATGTCAAATGGAATTGTTACGACCCGACTGACCTTAGGAATCCCAACGGATTGAGCAGGACAACCTGGAATGCAGGGTCACTGCCTGAGGCAGCAAGGGCTCTCCCTGGGGCTCCTGGGAACTCCCAGTGTCACAAAGGGGGCCCCGCCTGAGCTGGGATGTCACAAAGGGGGCTCTGCCTGCCCCATGATGTCATAAAAGGGGCCATGCCTGTCCTGTGATGTCACAAAGGGGGCTCTGCCTGCCCCATGATGTCACCAAGGGCTATAACGGGCCATGGAACACAGGGCACTGCGGGTGGGCACCACCTCAGCCTCTGCCACCCCAGCAGTGTTGGGATCCCATCACTGGGACCCCGCAGGTCACTGGGGAAGCTCGTCCCCAGCCTGTGCTGGTGACCTGGAGTGGCAGGGATGGTGCCATGAGGTCCCTCGACATGTTCACCATGGGGGAGCTGGTTGCAGTCCTGATCCTGGTGCTGCAGCTCATCCTGGTTGCTGTCGTGCTGCGGGACAAGCGTCTCTGGGTAGGTGCCTCTGCACCGCTCTGTGGGCTGGGTTGGTTTGGGGTGGGCTGGGGTGGCACGTGGAGCATCATGGGGGCTGTGGGGTGGGCCCAGGAGCTGCTCCTGTCTCAGCCATCCGTGGTTCCTGCAGAGGATCCTGCAGAACTGGAGGTGTCCGAGGGCAGCGAGAGCCCAGCCGGAGGAGCAGAGCAGTGTGGACAGGGCGCAGGAATCGGCAGACACGTCCCCTGGCAGCTCCCAACGAAGCTCCATGAGCTACAGGAAGCATTTCCCAAGGTTCATCCAAAGCTCCCAGGACTCCCCGGCGCTCATTGAGGAGCAGCACAGCGAGCTGAAGGCACAGCTGGCCCAGCAGCAATACAGAGGAGGGGACTGCAGGGTGCTCCAGACCGAGGTGCCAGTGGAGCTGCCGGGACTGCTGGGGGGCAGAGAGTCTCCCCAGTGCCTTGCAGTGGAGCTGCCAGGGCCGGACATGAATGAGGGGACAGAAGAAGCCAAACATAAGAACACAGGACAGTGCAGCAGGGACTACATGACACTGCAACGCAGAAGATCCGTGCTGATGGCCAGGCTGCTCCCTAGACTAGTGGTGATTGTAAATCCCACAGTGTTGGAAAGCTGCAGCAGCAGCAGCAGCAGCAGCTCCGTGGAGGTGCAATACAGCAGCACCACCACTGGATGGTTCCCGGGGAAGCTCCGTGCCTGGCTCCAGAGATACCTGGAAGCCTCGCAGACACGCTTTGTTCAGCGCCGCCGGGGCTTCTGCATCCGTCTGAGGTCCCAGCGGTGGTGGCGGCGCTGGACCCAGAGGAGAAAAGGGCGTAGTAATCATGAGTAGTCAGGGAGGGGTGGAGGAATGGGGTGCTTCAGGATCCACCTGGACAGCCCAATCCCTGTCCCTCTCCAGATCCCCCTGTAGAGCCCTCCTGTCCTGTAGCAGACACACACTCTCACCCAACCTGTCCTCTGCAAATTGACTGAGGGTCCCCTCCTCTTCCCCACGCACCAGTGCTGTAGCACCATCATAGAAAATCACCAATTTTGTCAAACATGATTTTGCCTTTATAAAGCCACGTTGGCTGTTTCCAATCATCTCTTTGTTTTCCATATGCCTTATCATAGTTTTCAAGAGAATCTGCTCCATGATCTTGCTTGGTGCAGAGGTAACACTGACTGGTCTGTAGTTCCCTGGGTCTTCTGCTTTCCCCTTTTTAAAAATGGGAGTTATATTTCCCTTTTTCAAGTCATCAGGGACTTCATGTAACTGCCACAATTTTTCAGAAATGATGGATAGTGGCTTAGCAACTTTGTCTGCCAGTTCCCTCAGGACCTATGGATGGATTTTGTTTGGTCCCATGGACTTGTTTACATTCAGGTTCCTTAGATGGTCTCAAACCTTATCCTCTCCTACAGGGGGCTCAGGGTCTTCATTCTCTCAACCCCTGCATTTGCCTTTCCTAACTTGGGTGGCGTGGCTGCAGCACTTGGTGTTGAAGACTGAGGCATAGAAGTTGTTGAGAACCTCAGCCTTCTCTTTGTCCAGGGTAGCCAGGTCTCTTGTTTCCTTCTGGTGAGGACCCATATTATCCCTCGTCTTGCTTGCAACATATCTATAGAATCCCTTCATGTTATCCTTAATATCCTTGGCCAGACTCAATTCTAATGGGCCTTGGCTTCCCTAACCTTGTCCCTAACTTCTCTTACAGTTTCCCTGTATTCCTCCCAAGCCACCAGTCCTCATTTCCACTTCCTGAAAGCTGCTTCTTTTGCTCTCAGTTTGCTCAGCAACTCCTTATCCATCCATGGAAGCCTCATGGCATTTCTGCCCCATTTCCTCACCGTTGGGATGCATTGCTCCCAAGCTTGGAGGAGGTGATCCCTGAAATTCAGCTGACTTCATGGCTGAGGAGGTGGGGGCCCTGCTGGGCAGCTCCTGGGGATCACCTGGGCCCACGTTCCACAGGGAGCTGCTGGGGGGAGCAGTGGAGCATTAGGGTCTCTCAAGGAGGGGTGGTGAGAGCCTCTCGCAGCCCTGGGGAAGCCCCCAGATGCTCCTGAACATGGAGCATTGCCCAGGGAAGGGGCCGGGGGATGAGCCCTGTGCTGAGGGGCAGCACAGGAGGGGGAGCAGCACCCAAGCAGGTGGGGCACAGTGGGGGCGCAGGGAAGATTGTTCTCATTCTGCCTTTTGATTTCATCTTCCCAATCCCTCCCCAGTGCATTCCAGTGACCCCAGAAAATGAGGGGTTTGAGGGGAAAATGGGTTTAAATTGAGGTGAAAACCTCCTTCTCCACAATTGTTTAAACTGAGGGCGACCCCACCTACAGCTGTGATTTGAAGTGTTTCAGTTGAAGAAAAACCTGCCTTTTCCATGATTTTAGAGGTTTTAATTGACACGGAATCCCTTATTCCCTTATTTTTTGGTTTAAATGGAAGGGGAAAACCTTTATGAGGCCATTTTGATCATCTGAAGGTTTAAATTGAGGGAGAATCCCTCTAGTCCCTCATTTTTGAGAGTTAAAATTGAGACGAACCTCTTTATGTGCCATTTTAAGAGTTCCATCGAGGGGAACCTTCCATTACAAGGGACCCTCTTGGGGAAAAAAAGATTTAAAAAAGCCACAAAAATAGTGCTTCTTGAGGGGAAAAAGAGCGGTGGAAAGGGGAAGCATTTTAAAAATTAAAAAAAAAAAAAGGAAACTGAAAATAAAATAAAAATAAAAACCAAACGAGAAAGAAAAGAAAATGAAAAATAAAGAGAATAAAAAAATAATTAAATTAAGAATGTAAAATACAAAAGAAAATTAAAGAAAAAAAAAGCGAGTAAACTAAAAAGGAAATAAAAGTGAAATGAAACAGAAAAACAACCCTTCTTGGGCACCCCGTTTACTCCCCGCCCCGCCCTCCGACCCGTAAATTGGGGGTCACCCCTAAAATGTGAGAAGGGGACCCCAAAACATGGGTGGGGGAACCCCAGGGAGCCGAAAAAGCAGCGGAGGGGGAGCCGCGAAATGTGAGGGAGGGGCCCCGGCAAAGCGGGCGAGGCGCGCGCAGTGAGACAGCGGAGCCGGGCGGTGGGGAGGGGCCAACCAAGGTGGGGACGGCGGCGCATGCGCAGTCGTTGGCAAAACGCTGGCGATCACGTGGTAACTAAGGGCGGCCGGGAGAAGGAACGGTGACGCATGCGCAGTGGCTCTCGTGCCGGTGCAGCGCTCCCTACTCAACTTAAGGGCCAGTTCCGGCGGCACGGCGGGACTTGCGGTCTCCCGTCTCTCCCGGGGTATGTGTGGGGGGAATAACATGAAGATTTTTTGGTGAAAGCGCAGAAATTAGCGAGGAGGGACGCTAATTTGGGTAAACTCGGTCACCGGAAGTAGAGAGCGACCGGACTGTTTTCGACGGCGCACCACCAAAGATGGCGCCCTCCGGACCGGAAGTGCTCGAAGCCGCCCAAAAAGAAAGATGGCGGCGCCAGGACCGGAAGTCCTCCAAGGCCGTACACAAAGATGGCGGCCCCGGCCCGAAAGTCCGCCAAGCCCACAGTAAAGATGGCGCCCCAGGACCGGAACTTAGCCAAGACCACACTAAAGATGGCGTCGAGAGGCCCCCTTGCATCAGAGAGGCGTCTATCCTGTTGCCTGACCTCCACCCCGACCCGGACCCCCGCCCCGCGCCCGCAGCTCCGTCTCGCCGCGCCGCTTCCCGCTGCTGGGACAGGGTGGGGCGCTCGGCGGCGCCGGGCGCGGGCGGCAGGTTCGCGGGCGGCGGCAGGCACCGGCGCGGGCAGCCCCCCTCTCGGCGCCGCGGCGCGCGGCGCAGGCGCGAGGACCTCAGGCAGACGGCCACTCCGTTCCGCTCCGCTCCCGCTCCGCTCCCGCTCTGTCCCGCCGTGCCCCGGAGATGCTGTCGGGGCTGCGCCGCCGCCTTCCCCCCCTGGAAGCGACCCACGGCGGCAGATCCGACGTCGGGCTCTCCAGGAGATCGTCCCCGGGGTAAGCGGCGGGGGCGCGGGGGGACGCGGCCGCTCTTCTGCCTCTCCCGCGGCCATCGGGGGACTGCAGGCAGGGAAGCGACAGGCAAGTTTCTCACCTCTGCGGAGAAACTTGCACCTGCGTGCCGCCGCGGGGAGAAGGGGCGGAGAGAGCGGCAGGCGACAGGGCCGGGTTCGGATGTGCCCTGGCATTGCAGTTCCCCGGGGAGGGTCTGCGCTGCCTCAGGGACCCGGTCTGTGCTGCCAGGAGAGAGAAATCCTTTGGGAAGCTGGGATGGAAACAGCAACTCTGAGAATTGCTCAGCTTTTCCAAGGGAAGGGCAGGTTTTAGGGAAGAAAGGCCCGTCCTCGCGAAAGGCGCCGCGGGTCTCGCAAGGGGGGGGGCGCGCGGCTGCAGTGCCGCTCCCGGCCGTGTCCGCCAGGCGGCGACTGTGAGGCAGGGCCCGGCGCTCGGGGGCGGCGAGCGGCGGTGTTTGGTCAGTGCCGGGCTTCTCCGAGCTTCAGTCCTGACTCGGAGCTTTTTGTGGGACTGCACAGCGAAGCTGCCTGTGGGAATGACCCGGCTGTTGCTCGGTGTACTCCTAACGACAGT